ATTTGACTGGTTCTTTGCCCTCGAGTAATATAAAAAAAAGGTTTTAGATACAGATGCAATGTTAATAGCCTTTTATGATACAGGCCAGAATGTATGACACATTAAATTGATTTAAAAATAACTTTTGTCATCTATATAAATGTATTTAAATCAAAGATTATATTTCACACCATAGATTGAATAAGAATATATGGGCTGACAATATAAAATGATCAGATTTTACATTCATAATTGTATCACTTTTAGAATGATTCTACTGATCCAAGGCCTTGTCCTTTTGAATTATAAATAAGTGATGTTGACTTGAACTTTACTGAGCTTTTGTCATGCAATGTTATTTGCTTTCAAATGCATTTAAAAAAAAGGCTCATCTATATTTTATCCATGAACATGAATTTTTCAACCCCTAAATCTAGCAAGGTTTTGTAAATATGGGAAAAAAAGTAAACGAAAAAACACATGTATTTAAAATGCAATGGAAGTCGAGGAAAACATCACTAACCTTAAAATGAACTGGAAATTCCCCAGAAGATCTGCAGGCAGTTTCCTTTTTCAACAATACAACGCAGCTACTAAAAAAACAACAACCTTCTCTCAGCTGTTATTCTCACATATGCAGTCTCAAAAGGCTGTCAATGTTGCAACGTAATGCGGACTCTCTTTTAATCTATCCACGTGTCACGCCATCCTCTCGCTCTGACCAGAAGGTAAGTTGAGAGGCACAACGCAACTGGAGGAATGTTGAAATCATCCTGATTCACAGGAAGGACTTCTTTGAAACAAACAGGTTGGGCAGGCCTGAGCCAATAATAGCTGCTAGTAACGTCAAACTCTCTCTCTCTCTCTCTCTCTCTCTCTCTCGCGCACGCGCACACACGCACACACACACACACACACACACACACACACACACACACACACACACACACACACACACACACACACACACACACACACACACACACACAGAAGTAAAGAGGGAGAGATGGATAATATCTAATAACAAGATTAAGAGTTAAACAGCCATGCTTTGTGAGGCTAAACAGTGCTTTAAGCTAGATGCTACAATCAGCATATTTCCATGCTCACAATGTCAATGCTAACATACTGACGTTTGGCAAGTGTACCATATTAGTATTTTTGAAATGGTGTGCACAAATCTGATGGAAAGCATGTTGTCTTTTGCTGTAACAAAAGTAGTGGTCTTTGATGGTGATATTTTGAAGAAATACTATAGGCAAGATGAAGTCATGGGCTGCTAACCAAAGCCTCTAGAATCGATCATCTGGGGCCCTTGATTTTCTGTCAATGTCCAGAGACATTTTGTCAGTGGCTTTTGAGATATTTCAGTCAGGATCAAATAATGGCAGACTGATGTGGCCACAATTCTAAATAACTATGCAGAACACTGTATAAGACGAGATATTATAATGATAAACACAGTGGCGAGCCGTGAGCTTTATACCTAGGCCCTCTGACCCCCACCCCTTCCCTCGAAAAAAAAAAAAAAAAGAGTTATTACGTCACAGCGTATACTTCAGCGGAATATCAAAACAACGGCCCAGGGTGCAAAACGCATCAATGACAGCGACCCTCTACCACACAAAACAACACCTGTGAACCCAATTTGTGTTCTTTGACATTGAAAATGATATTGCATTGTGTTTGTTACTTTCGTTGCAGTTGTATGTCTTAAGTGTAATTTGGCATGCTTTTATTTTGAAGGCGAGTTCACGCTGTTGACAGGAAGTTGTTGTTGCTATGGAAACAAGAAAAGTTTCACAGCGGGCGGAACTCGTCATAAAGTCCGCGATAATAAAACCCACCCATTTAGAGGGAAGATATGATTGGTCAATTGTTGTGTCATTTGACATTACTCTCTCGTTCAGTTACTATAGCGGGCCCTCTGTGAATCGCAGAGAGGCCCGCTATAGTAACTGACATTCAAACAGAGACTGAACAGGCAGATTCGAAGGATTTATTTATTTGGAAATGTTATTTTATTAAATCAAGTTTTTTTTCGGTAAAACTAATGAAAAATATAACAAAAATAATATTAAAAAAATATATATTTAAAAAAAATATATATATTTTTAATGTTTTTAAATATTATTTTTTGGAATATCTTAGGCCCTCACAGAGGGCCTAGAGGGCCCTGACGGCTCGCCACTGGATAAACATTTCATTGATTGAAACTTGAGTGAGTTTGAGAGGTCACCATTTTATTTTAAAGGGGACCTATCATGCAAAATGCACTTTTGTACGTCTTTTATACATGAATATGTGTCCCCGGTGTTCCAGGGAACTCACCAAGTGTCAGAAAACACAACCCTCTCTAATTTCCTCCATACCCAAATCTCTAAAAAAGGGGCTGCAACGGATCTGATACAAACTGATCCAGATTTGAATACTGTCCTGACGTCAGGACGGTGGCGCTACGGCTATTGGGCCAACTCCACCAATCAGGAGGAGACAGCCACGGCCATTGCCGTTCGAAAGCACTGGAGACGCTGTAGTACATATGCCAGGCCTGTAGGTGGTGCTGTTCTCACTGAATCAGCCCTTGCAAAAACAGGGGTTTAAAAGTGCAAATTGAGCGAAATGAGGCATGGCTAAAATGCATGATGTTTGGTATTTTGAAAAAAAAAAAGTATAAATATGCCTTATATAGGTATGGTCCTACACTATATTATTATAATATAGCATGATAGGTCCACTTTAAGCTTTTGATTTGATGGAGAAAAGGAAGAAAATGGCCACGGAAGAGGGTTAAGTAATATGTTTGAGAAAGAAAGCAACAAAGCAGCATGCAGTACATGAACTGTTGCAAGATAAAGGATGTTAAATAACAACCACAAGCCATATCTTTCTGTGGTTTCACAGTTATTTACTTTACATTCTTATCATCCCATTTGATGTGTGCTCCAGTATAGTTTGTGCAGTAGTATGGAGATTTTTATTTGGAGACATCTGCTGCTGCTTTTGTATGTAACAGAACTAGATGGCATTTGCCTAGTGGTGCCTAAAGCACATTTCAAGAGCCAGCACCATTTAGTTCCCTTATATTCAAGTGAAGGCAGTCATCTTTATGGCGGATATTACTCCATTACTCTGCAACTCAAACTAATCTAGATTGTTCAATGGGCCCTATAATGCACATTTTTCAGGTTATTTTATTTATTTAGTGCCTCTACTGTGACATGTTAAGATGCTTTTCACCCTCTGTCTGAAATCAGAGCCAAGTGTGCTCTGACTGGTTAGCCGGCTAGCTCTGTTGTGATTGGTCAACCGCTTAGAGATGTTCTGCCCCTTACCCTATCACATACAATGTGTTTGAGCGCTAGCCAATAGAAGCGTGAGTGTTACATAGTGATGTCATTATGTCCCGGAAGTAAACAAAGGGGTCCCTCTGATGTGAACTTTGGGGATTTAGCCTTTGCAGACCATTTACATGCACTCAAACCTATATAACTGTCAGGATCTCGACACAAACTGATGAACCCAAATGCACGACCCAGAGACAAAGTCTTGAATGTAAAATGTTTTAATTTTAATTTCACAGATCAGGTAATCCCTCTTAACAGAGTAGGTACTGGAAATAACAAAAGGTGCACACAAGGAGGAAAAAACTAGGCATAACAAAAAGAGAACTTAAGAAAAACGTAAGCCTACAAAATTAACAAAAGAAACAAAACCTGACATGAGTGAAAGCGATCCTTTCTGAGCTGAGGCTTGGCACGACCATTCGGAGAAACAAACAAGACGAACTGACACAGGACAGGGGAGAGACAGGACTATTTAAACATGAGGTGAGTGGGAACAGGTGGAAACAATCAGGGGCGGGGCAGACACTGATGATGGCGGGAAAAACACACAAGGGGAGGAAGAAACAGGGCCTGAAATGAAAGACAAGAGTTAAATGCAAAATAAAACAGGAAATGACAGACAAAATACATAAACATAACTAACACATTTGACGAGACACAACAATAACACACTACAGGAAAGGGACAACCCCAAAAAGCACAATAGGGCCCCTTTAAATAGCAACATGTATGTTATGTATGTAACAAGAAAAATATGTGTTTTTGATTTTGTGGTGAGCTATCGCTTGAAAGTGAACAGTAAATACAAGCATACAACCAAAGAAAACAACACATGAACTGACATGAAACTGTCTCTTTAAATATTTGGTCACTCAATCAGCATGTCTTAGCTCATCGCACTTTAATATCATAAATATTAAGTTTTTTTTCTAAAAATAGACGAACAAGATGAAGAGTTGATATCCAAGTACAATTTGTAAATGGATGTCCGGGTTTCAGAGTCACTGTCCTCCTGGTTTTCATCCTCAGGCTCTGGTCAGTATCTGTTAGAGCCTTATCACTCTGCAGCGTTTACTCAAGAACACACAAATGTGACCCAGAGCTTACAGCTAACAGCTTTTAATTGGATCATTATGAATGTATTTTCCGTCATCATCTTCTTGCTCTGCATCATCACTAACAGGCTTTCAGCAACAGCTGTTTTCTGGATACTGCCTGTACTGGGTGCACTCTGCGTGTTGTTTAAGTGCAGTAGAAAAAAGGAAATTGGGTGATAATAAATATATTTGTATATTTTATCACTATGTTATATCCTGACAGCAGCATTAAGCTAATCCAAAAGCACAATAACAGTTAAAGGTAGGGTAGGTAAGAATGGAGAAAACAGTTTGAGTGCGCTAGAATTTGAAAGTACGCAGCTGAAAGAAATCTGCCCCTTCCTTCAGACTTCCTTACAGAGCCCCTCCTCCAACACACACGAACGTGCACATGACCAATGAGGGCACGAGATAAGTTTGTGCACAGATGGAAGGCTGACAGGCAGGTAGGCCATCCAGTTATTTTAGCCGGGCCGGCTAAAATAATTGGTCGTGCTTTTTACAGCGCCACGGCTTCCACAGATGACATTTTTGTATGGATTTATTGTCAAAGCATTTCATTTATTTATTGCTATCGGGATGAAGAGCATTCCATGGAATATAACAAAAAGTGTTTCTGAAGTGAATTACCTTTAAGCTTATGTAAACAAATGAACAGATAAGAGGCAAAAGAGTAAATCTATTTACATAGTTTTTCTTTTGCTTGAGTATTCTCTTAAAGCAAAAGTCAACTCCAGAAAATCCGGAAAAAAAGAGTTCTAGTATTTGTGCTGAAAGAAGCCTCAAGGTGCTGGAGGAGATGTCTCTGTGAGGACATACGACTGATGTCTTGATGACTTCTGTCTCCTGAAAGGATATAGACAAAACATTTATCAAAAAAACATTAACATTTACAATACTAAGTTCATTGTATCTATCTAAAATTAAAATAAATAACACTTATGTAACACAGACATGGGAGATATTGGGCTGATAGTCACGCTACTGCAGACATCAACCTTTTAAATACACGCGATATTCACATCTAGGTTTGATTATTGAAATAATTCAAGCAACAGACTCTGCATGCAGACTGTGAAAGATGCATCTGTCTAAATGTGAAATTAAATGATACAGTCATTAAAAAAATCACTGATCATCTGTAAGGGGAGTAAATAACTCACCTTGACAAGAGAAAGGCCACTATGGCAACTAAAGCCAGGATAACACAGACAGTCACTCCAATAATCAGCAATCTCTTTCCTGAAGACTCGGATGGGTCCGTTGCTGGGGTGGACAGACAAAAACCATTAGAGTCATATAAAATGGTCTCTGGCAGAATTATTTTATACATGTTAATAGCTAGACCTTAGACATCCTGGTGCTGATGGACCTACAGTGTAAAGGTATTTCATAAGGCTGGGCTTCATGGCAGCAAAGCTATATATATATATAGAGTTTATTTTTACTGGATAAAATGCAAAATAGACCCAGTATTCATGGCAAGTCATACTTTTTTTTTTTATGCATCTCAAAGATAGAGAAGAGATATGTAGTTTGAAAATGATACCTTAATAAGTGTTTGGTGCTCTGGTGGAAGAATGGGTTCCTTTAATTATCACTTTTCTCCTTGTTTTACATAAGAACGGACACAACTGTTGCTGCTGAAATGGATCAGTGGCCAACCAGTTATCATTTTACCTTAATGAGGGTGATAACGGTTCCTTTTTTGTGATTGTCATAGGTTATGGTATGCAAAATGACGAATCAGTCACCTCTTGTTATGTAAGCACTGACTCCTTTTTAGAAATATCAATTTATTTTCTATGTTTTGTTCGTTTGTTGTTGAATATTTAGATGAGGTGTTATTTTGGGCCTATGTCCTGCTGAACTTGGTTCCACAAAGAACTGGCAGGATCTTTTCCGGGCTCTGTATTGACCCACCTTTGGGATCTGTGAGTTTCAGACCGTTAGTCTGTGATCCATGTCTGTTCCGAGCCTCGCAGCAGTGCAGCCCATATTCTTCAGCGGAGATGTTGGCACTGCTGAGTGTCGGGCCTCGTCCTGTAGGTGTAGCCGGAGATTTTCTGGCTCGATTAAAGCTTTTGTCGGCTGCCAGAAGACATGCTGCCCCCTGGTACCAGGTGTATGTGTGGACAGGAGGGTTAGCATCGCTGCTGCAGGTCAGAGTCACAAGAAGCCCGTTCTGTAGCTCTGCAGCAGGAGAGACTGAGACCGATGTGTTGCGAGGAGAGTCTGGACAGGATGGAGATGAAAAGTCAGTTACACCCTGTTTCAAATCATATGGGATTCTGTGAAGACACTTAATACTAATAATATATTCATTAAAAGAAATCGAGAAAAAAATATACAGTGATGTTTCTTTATGTAGAATTTCTCAGTCAAAATATACATTATGTAAGATATTAAATGTCTAGACCTATATATTCTGTTAAGTGGATACTATCCCAAATGTTTTCAACAATTTTTAAACCTATAGAAATTCTTAACTGTAATCAAGGGAATGGTCCAAATACATTAAACGTCTAGATCTTCATGAGAAAAAAAGCTGAGGGATTGGTTTTTAATGTTTAACTGCTTCTCTCCTTGTTTTTTCTCAGTTTAAATCACTGGGTCAGTTTGTTTAAGAGAGGAGGAGAAGTCGGCAGATAATTTGGCACCCGATAAATACCAGCCTAACACCTGGATCTCAACTCTACATAAAAACAAGCTCAGCAAACGTTTAGTGGCAACCCTGCAAAAACCTCTGTGGATAATTTGGCTACCTGTTAAAGCCTACTGAACGACGAACAATGGTGAAAGCCCAATCAGAGATAGCTGACTGCAATGGTGGTGAAGGCAACAACTCCCATGCTACTTCTCCATATCACCAAACTTATTATTGTTTTGATGAGAGACGCATAGTTGCGTAAAACTACATATTGTTCGTTGGTTCATAATATAAATATCTATTTAAATGGGAATAAACCTTCACTTACATTCTACATCAATAGGCAGCATTGTTGAGTTCTGCTCTTTATCTCCAGTCTGTATCTGACAGTAGTAGCTGCCAGAGACTCCAAGTGTCACCTCACTGAAGTCCCACACCTGTCCAATGTGTCCTCGGGTGCTGCTTGTGCTCTTGTACCATCTGAAGAGGGCCTGGGGACTGGCCGCAGGGCTGCCGCAGGCCAGACGCAGGGCCACGCCCTCTGTGATGTCAGTGGAGGGACTCGCTGACACCGTGACTGCACTGAAGGAGTCTGGAGAAAACGAGGGTTATTCAAATAACAAGTGTATTAAGTCGTCTCATATTCAAGAATAAAACGAAGTTAAGTGATTTGTGAAAAATAACTGTATGATGATCTCTGTTCAGGGCTTTGGCCAGGATTTTAGAAATACTGAGGTCCACTAACCTGCCATATAACACATAACACATAAATAAAAAAATTGAGTCTATTGTTTTATATATATTTTCCCTGTTGAACATAGAACCTTTAAAGGTAGGGTAGGTAAGAATGGAGAAACTAGCTTGAGTGCGCTAGAATTTGAAAGTACACAACCGGAAAAAATCTGCCACTTCCTTACAGAGCCCCTCCTCCAACACATACGAACGTGCACATGACCAATGAGGGCACGAGATAAGTTTGTGCACAGATGGAAGGCTGACAGGCAGGTAGGCCATCCAGTTATTTTAGCCGGGCCGGCTCAGATGATTGGTCGTGCTTTTTACAGCGCTACAGCTTCCACAGATTACATTTTTTAATGTATTTATTGTCAAAGCATTTAATATATTCATTGCTTTCGGGATGTTAAGAGCATTCCATGGAATATAACAAAAAGTGTTTCTGAAGTGAATTACCTACCCCACCTTTAACTGTTCTATTTGTGTACACATCTACTCTACCTTGAAGTTTAAAAGGTGGGAATAAAATGTAAATCCTTATTAACTAATGATCCATAGTTAATGTGTAATGTTTCAATATAAGATTGTTAAAAAATAAAACTAATTTCAGATCTCTTTATTTTAAGCAGAATAAATATATTGAGAATGTGACCTCTGTGTGGACTATCTGACCTTAAAACAGTAAACTCCTGCCTCCAGGTTGTTTTTCACAAGCCTCTATTCATTTAAAAGGTGTTGCATGCTTCGCCATTGATGCTTGTTTTGTTCCTCCAACCAGTGGTTCAACTGTTCATGACCAAACAACAAACCTTTGTTTTTGTTCATTTGCAGCTGCATGGTGCAAGTTGTACTCAATAGTTGAAAAGTTGAAAATCTTTAACTTTTCAACTTTTCACTGATAATTATTACTGCATTATACCAACAAAACAAAACAAGAGAGTGACTTGACACAGACGTTGGTCCATCATTTCTTAAGAATATTGCAACATGAGTTACCTCACACAAACACATTCCGCGTTCACACCGGAGTACTTTTCCCCGTACTTTTCGCGTTTAGTTCCGTTAGTACCCCTTATGTCGCGTTCACACCAAAAAGAGTACTTAGTGCCGGGAACTTTTACCCCCATGTTTAGTGCCTGCTGAGTGATGGTACTTTCCTGGGGGAAAAAAGTGCCCCAGTTCTGATTGGCTGGGCGAATTGCAAACCACGCCCCGTAAAACTCTGAAATGTTTTGTAGAGCCGCCATTTTATTATCCTCGCATTAGCATTATTAGCATTAGCATTCGCCCAGCGCACAAACGCAGAGAGACTAACTTATGGCAACACAAAATAAAACATGGGAGCGGTGTCGGCGTTCTGGCGATTTACTCGGAAGGCTTCAGTAGAAGCTGCTGGGAGTCCCAGCAGCTTCTACTGAAGCCAGTCCCCAACTCCGGGGACTTCCGGCCGGGGACTTCGGGTGGCAGTATACACCGTGAAGTGGTTTGCGGCCTGCCAGTAAACCCAAAGCAGAAGAAGACGAAGTTACTCCGGTGTGAACGCGATCTGTACTAAGTGCCCTGGGGTAATAAGTGCCCTGGGGTAATAAGTGCCGGGGCACTAAGTGCCGGCACTAAGTATGGCAAAGTACTTGGTGTGAACGCGAATGAGGTTGCTTTTCAACAGGCTCTAATACCTTGCTTTAGGAGTTCAGCAAAGACATGTTTCAACTTTCCAGTGAGTCTCTGGGCTGTGTGGCTGTGTGGGACTTTGATCATTTGGGTACGGAATTAAGACTGTCTTGAAACAAAAGCATTATTAAGGTTTCTGGTCAGTTTCAGTTCTCCTTCACATGAATAGCACACAGAGTTGATAAAAAGGAAGTGGTTCCTTATCTAAGTGTTGATGTTTTACATCAACACTTCAACCAAGTCAACCAATTCGCAAAGTACAACATTTATTTTTTCTTAAATCCTTTGCAACTCAAACAACAAATGATGAGCTATGCATCGATAATGAAGGATGAAGATAATTTTGGGGATTATAGTATTACTGTTGGTGATGAGTTGTGGCATTAGTTGTGAATGAAATATTCCCACCTGCCACTAGGAGCTGTACTCCTTTCTGCTCTGGCATCTTCTGAGTGGGGTGGCTGGTGATGAGGTAAAACACGTACGCTCCACTGTCTGACTTCCTCAGGTCAGAAATCCTCAGAGAACAGTTTTTGGTTCCTGGTTGTAGGTACTCCACCCTGTTCTGGTAGGATGGATGTGGTAATATACCGGCACTGTGGAAGACATATCTGAGACAGATAGACAGATTTATTTAGTTTGGTTTAACCCTCTTCTATAAGTTCTTGCAGAAATTTTTGCGGATGTTTTTGTGCATCTTCAACAAGACCTTGATGTGATACAGCGACTGTCTTCGAGACACCAGATCTCAGACGAAACGTTGTACTGTTGTACCTCGCCTCCTCCTCCTCCTCCACCCTAATTGAGATAATTAGACAGAGTTTCTATTGAAGGAGCTTTTGAACAAGGGCTAAAGCGCCATTTAATACCACATAATTATGCTTATGTTAACCTGATGCTCGATGTTTAAATCCTTCCATAAATTGTAGTAAAATAAGTTAGTTTATTTAAATTATTCTTGATCAAACCCCTGCAGCTGCACATTTAAGAGCCTTGCAAAGAAAGACTTCCTGCTGAAGAAACAGGATACATTGCAACTGCTAACAAAGCCTTCTTTATACCTGAGCAGAGAGCCGTCCCTCAGCCTCAGAAGAAGGGAAGTCATAGGAACAAGGGAGAACCACAGAGGAACCAATCACAGCAGAAATAGGATTGGAGGGAAGACTAACTGACCAATCACCTGCAAGAACACCTGAGGGGGAGGATATAGATTATACATTATAACAGGTTTTTATATCATAACCACTAAGTTACATTACAAGGGTCTAACATTTACGCAAGTTACTGTATTTTTCTTCAACATTATTAACCTAAAATAATCCAGATATACAGATCAAATTAACTGACATATCTGAATGTACCCGCATTACAAGTTTTGCTACAATGTACAGCACTGTTCCATGTGTTTTGGTCAATAATATAAGAATAAAACAATAAAAAAGTTAGTCACAGGGTGAAATGTAAAAATATAATTTTTAATTGGAACTAGTATATAGATATAATATGCATGCAGCTCTGGTGCCACTGAAACCATCTTCAAGCAGTTGTGACATCAGTTTTATGATTTATACGCTGCATTAATTTAGCTATAAGTATGTCAAGCCAAAACTTTAGTTTAAATATGTATTTTACCTTTCAGAGACAGTGTGAGCAGCAGCCAGCAGCTCACTCGTCCACCCATCTTCTATTCCAGCTGTTGATTTTTCAGTTTTGGTCCCCTGATCTTTCACCCTCAGACAACTGCCCTTTCTTCTCCTTTGGTTTCAACTGTCTGCCCTCCTCTGCTTTTCGGTGATGTGCTTGCTTCCTGTAGAGCAAAGAATCATGGGTCAGATTGTCCAACTTCCTTTTTATTTTCCCTGCAACAGGGAACTGGGGTGATGACATGGTTAAATGACAGCAAGAGAACCTACTGTAAATGAATGTGGGTGTAGCCTATGTCTGTGTTGGCAGTAGTGGAACAACAAAGTGGTAATACCACAGGCTAGAAATACTTTATTACAAGTAAATATCCTACATTTAAAAATGTAAATACAAAAGTATTGGATTGAAAATTAGTACAAAAACTACAGTACTCGTTATGCAGAATGGCAATTTTTTTTGGATAATAGATAATGTTACTGAAGCAAATTGAGTGATCAATTAATGTAATTAATTTCTCTGTGTTGGAATTCAACAGACACTGGAATTGAATGGCTGCCATACATGTAGAGATTGAGATTTAAGAAACATTTTGATTGATCTCTTAATTTTTTCCACGCTACCCACCGTTTTAAGGTACATCTTTACACTAAACCTGGCCTCCATTAAGTTATTATCCCGTTTCGTTGTGTGTTCTATACTCTGTTCGCACAGTGTGTTCACCTGCAGCAGGTCAGCAATCTGGGTCCACTCAGAAACGCACCGTGACGTCACTGGTGCCCCTCTCCTCTGCGCAGCTGACCGCTCACAGGACGACCACACAAGAACCCGCAGACAAAGATGCGATAAACTATCATTAACTTCGTCTCAGATAGAACAGGCTTTCAAATGTTTTTCTCTTTTCTATTAGACGCCGGTGTCGGTGGATTCGGTTGATATTAAGACTCGCTGAAATCCTTTCCCCCTTCTTCTTTCTCTGGGGTCAGTAACCTGTGGAGACAGCAACACGGATTTACTTCAAACTGGATTTATCTGTGGCGGAGTTTAAACGGCCTCGTCGCCTGTTTTTCGAGGCAGAAGTTTTTTTGTTGCTATTTTATTCTTCAATACAGACTTTAAAGAAAAAATAACATTATATTTGTCATTAACGAAGGCATTTGTTTCACCTGCTGTAAGAAAAGTCAGGTGAGTCTCTTTCTGGAATGTGTTTCAGCCCTGTGGTTTAATGCTAACTAACACTTAATGCTAAAAGTTAACATTGCTAAAGGCTATAGCCAGAGGTGGGAGAAGTACTCAGAACTTGTACTTGAGTAAAAGTACAAGTACCAGAGTGTAGGAATACTCTGTTACAAGTAAAGGTCCTGCATTCAAAATGTTACTCAAATAAAAGAATTAGCATTCAAATATATTTAAAGTACCAAAAGTACTCATTCTGCAGTTTGGCCCATTTCAGAATAATATATATTATATGTTTTGATTATAATTATTGATGCATTCAAGTGTTATCAAAGCTGGTAAAGGTGCAGCTAGTTTAAATTACTTTGTATACTGCAGGGTAGCTTGTACATTTACTCCAGGTGTAAAAAAAGTCTTAGTTTACATATAAATTGAAATACTCAAGTAAAGTAGAAGTCTCTCAAAATAGTTATTAAGTACAGCACTTGCGTAAATGTACTTGGTTACTCTACACCAATGGCTATAGCCCAACTCTAACAGCTAGTATTACATAGTTCTTTGAAATGAAACACAAAATTAAGTAGCTTTTTTTTGGTATAATTTTAATTATGTCAACATTATATTTTATCGTGCTGAACCTTTTTAATGCCCGAATCATCTTTGTCTCGGAACCTCTGCAGTCTTAAATAAACAAATATCATAGCCTTTTAGGGAATTGTAATATTTGTAGTGACACAATAGGTGCTTGAACTTTCTATTGCTTGCTATAGATACACTTTAACTTTAGGAAGAATGCCTTTGTTATCATTTGCTCCCAGTTGTCTCATATGAATTGTGTCCTCCTGTTAGCAGGGCAGTGAACACTGTAACTAGTTTAACCTTCTGTTGATAAAGACAACAGTCGTGGAGTATGTATTGGCAAAAATAATGACGTTGAATGAAGATGCAAATAGTAGAAGAAAAACTCAGTTAGTGTAAAAAATATATGGACTTTTATGGACTGCATACTGTGATGTAACCAGCCTGTACTTTAGAGCATATCGATCAAAATTGAAGTAGGCCTAGGATTATTATATTAAAGTGTTTTAATGTTTTCTTTTCTAATTCGTGGCAAAACTAGTTGGTTCCTCCCACGTAATATACTGTACCTGTATGCTTTCAGAGTTAATCCTAAGTGTTTGCTTCAATATGGTCTTTGTTTGTCACTTAAGACCTTCGATATTATATCAACAGGGAAAAGTGACTGACAAGGCCTTGGACCACGTGTTCTGAGGAGACACGGAGAGAAGGAAGGAAGGAAAAAGGAAGGAAGGTGTTCCCTTTTGCTTCTTACTGTATACAGATGTATGCTGAGAAAGTTCTGTCGGAGGGGAAGATGGGTGAGTGCACATACCACTACTGTTGTTCGTGCCCTTATTCTCCACCCCTTCCACACACACACACACACACACACACACACACACACACACACACACACACACACACACACACACACACACACACACACACACACACACACACACACACACACACACACACACACACACACACACACACACACACACACACACACACACACTCACAGATTAAAATGCTGCACTGGTCATGTTGCCTTTTTTCTGTATTTGGGACCAGACAACAGTTCACTTGACAGTTAACCATTAACAGTTTTTTCCAAGTTGACTGGCTGTCTCTCTGATTTTTACTTGATATATCTTTCTGAAAACATTTTCAGATTTGATATGATTTTTGTTTTTTTCAAAAGATTTCCAGGAAGAAATGTGATACTTGTGTTGATAACTGGGGCCAATCACCCCTGTACTTTATACAAAATTACACTAAATTGCAGCACATTATATCTACAGCAGTAACAATTCACCCTCCTTGCAGACATATAAAACACGTCACTATGCCCACATCACTGTCAATTTGAAACTCCCCTACCTTATCCCTGCAAATACACTCTCACCACAATCAGTGAAACACACATGTAAAAGGAAACCAGGGAATTCACATTTGTCCTGTTACGTGGCATAATTAAGCTGAAATGCAGAGTTAGTCAGCTTTACGACTCCTAATGACTTTATGACTTATGATATGATGCTGTTATGGAAGTGGAGATAAGATTACATGCTGTATTTGACTGTTGCCATAAAGCACTCGTGTCTGTGTGAACTGTGAAACACAAATACGGACACTTTGAAGAGACAATAAATGAACCCTTCATACATTTTTACCCCATAACCCCTGCCAGCAGTGAACCTACCTTACATTGCAGGGCTTGAGTGCCAGTCGAATGATTCCTGTAGCCTTAGATGAAGTGAAGTCTTTAGTAGAAAACTGTCTTTATCTCCACATTTTCTGCCGTTCAACTCTTGGTCCTCTTGTCCTTGTTGTGCTGTGACTTACTTTCTACATCTGAACGTGGTCCGCTTAGCGATTGGTTTTGTAGTTTCTGAAGGGAGTCCACTCAGATGACATGAATTCGGCTGTGTCTATGGTGCGTGTAATTACAAGAGAAACACCGTCTAGCCGAGGAGTGGCACATGTGGTGTGGTTTATCTTGTGTGTGTGTTGACGCCTAGGTGGGACATCTTTTTCATCTATTTTCAGCTGTGTGTTAAACATAACATGCTACATGTGTGAACAAGTACAGGAAACACCATTAAGCATAAGCACGCGCTCACAGAGCAGGGTATACCTCTTATCTGACTAATATTTCCTGCACTGAGTATGATTGTGTTTATTTTTACTTTTCTACCATGACAACCACTACTGCTATGAGTCAGAGAGTCTCCTGTATCTTCACATGTGTGTGAGAGGTTTTCTTTTGCTTCTGTGCTGTTGTTATTTCTGCTTTTCCCACTCTTCATTCACTCAGGAAAAGGATATTCTTTTATATTTATTTTGAAAACCATTGTACCCCTTTATATAAATATATGGTGTTTTATTTGGAGTCCATGTATGTTGAATTTAAGCTCAGCCCTGTTTTTGATGGACCAGATACATAACAAATGTGATCTTCCTGGCTTGAAACTAGTTTTTGAATCTGTTTCCTAAAGCCCTAATGTCATTGCCTCCAAGAGCACAAAGTATAATAGAGCAAATGCTAAAAAAACAGAGCCTGGAGCTTGAGGACTTTTTAATCACACCACTATTTTCAAGGTTTAAGTTCATTCTTACTTTAACACCTTATTATTAACAAAAGCAAGACAGGCGATATTGATTTTTATAAGAAAATAAGCTTGCATCTCAGATACAACTCGGCTCATTTAGAAGACAACCTTTTGTTTTGTTTTATACAAAATATGCTTTTTTGGTTTTACTTTCCCTTTTTTTGTCGAGGGTGTGTAAGCCCATCTGGAACACAGCTGCTTCTCTTCACCCACCACTGTGAGGCTACAGTGGGAGGGCGTAATGCATCCCTTTCAACATCCCAGTAAATGAGTCATGATACAGTAAAGCATGCTGCTGCTTCTGGCTGGTCATGTGACTCATGTATTGGGAGAGAAATTACCCAAAATAAGATGTAAGTGCACAATGCTTGTGTGGATCACAAACAGTAAGTGATGATTCATTATTTCCTCTCCCCTATGTCAGCCTTATTTACCACAACAAATCATGGCAACAAAAAACCCAGTCCTATTTTTTGATTGTAGATAAACACTTGATCTAGATGTCAAATTGCTACTAATTAAACGTGTTGAAAAATATATACGTGAGTGTTGAACATAATTAAAGGGGCCCTATTATGCTCATTTTCAGGTACATATATATGTTTTATGTCTCTACTGTGACATGTCTCCATACTTTAATGTACAAAAAGCTCTTTATTTTTCTCATACTGCCTCTGCTGCAGCAGCTCTTTTCACCCTCTGTCTGAAACCAGAGCCCAGTCTGCTCTGATTGGTTAGCTGGCCGGCTCTGTTGTGATTGGTCAACTGCTAAGAGTTGTCACGCCCCTTAGCCTATCACGCATAATGGGGTGGTGCGTTAGCCAATAGAAGCAAGAGTGTTATATAATGATGTCACTATTGCCCCTTTCACACCAACGCAACTCCGGTTCAAGCTCCGTGCTAGAGCTTTTCTGGTTCAGAACCGGTTCTTCGGTTTAGCGCCTGCTCTTTTCACACCGCTCAGAGCCCGACTGGTGCTGCCGCTGCTGCGTCATGACGTCACAGTTTACGTCGCTGAGTTTCTCCCCAACGCCGGAGCTCACCTCACAACAACAACGGGCCGGGGACTGCGTTGCTTTTAATCATACGAAGCCAGATTAAATTAAATAACGACTTCTCCAACCTTATACTTTTCTCCAGAGTGCCGTGGTTCATTGTTTATTAATGTGTTTCAGCGGCATTTACCGACCGCTGCAGTGCTGGCCGGCTGCTCTTCAACGGGAGTGTATTCTCCCGTTAGCTCCGGGTTAGCTCACACGGCTCTAAAGTATTCACTGTCTGACTGTCACACAAGCAGCTGATACATATCCCCAGTTCCCCTTAAGTGAATGTGTGTCAGTCTGAATTGACGCTGATTGGCATCACAACGCTGTTATGAAAGTTTCTCTGGTATAACATGGGTGATGTTAGCATAGCAACCGAAGCTAAACTGACTACTTGCTAAGCAGTTTTCTACAAGCACTTTTTACCGACGTATTTTTCATTATGATTCTACTTGTGATAGTCGAACATGACAACCTGTGCAGCCCATGTATTGATTCCATCCGATAGCTGCTATAATAACAAACAAAACGTCTGCCTGCTCTCCACAATGATCAATAACAGCGAACGGATGGTCAAAGTAAGGTACAAATAAACAGAATCACACGAAGCCTGGTTAGTGTTGCCTGACTTTATAAAGTGTGTTTTTTTTAACAAGTGTGTGGTTGCGTTCTAGTCACTTTGCTCAGCACTACTGCTTGTTACAACTTTTATTTGCCGTACTCGCCTTAAGTGTTAGCTCAGGTTAATCTCGCCCCCCTCCGACGTAAGCGTGACGTAAGCGGTTCTTGCTTCTAGACGGACAACTTTTTGGTGCTCGAAACGAACCGGATTCCGGAGCTTAGAGGCTGCTCCGCTGCGGTGTGAACAGGAAAACCCGGTGCTTTTCAAGCACCAGCACCGAACCGGCCCTGAAACACCGTTGGTGTGAAAGGGGTATATGTTACTGAAGTAAACAAAGAAGTCCGATGGAGGCGTTTCAGGCATGGAGTGTGTGGGAGAGAAACTAATTCTGGAGGGAACTTTGGAATTTTAGCCTTTGCAGACCATTTACAAGCACAACAACAATAAATCCCCCAAAGCAGGGCCCCTTAATATTTAGTGGAATAGGTAGAATACATCTTACACCCACTTTGGGTCAGTTCTCATTGTAGCATATGCAAATATGTAATACATTTTAACAAGAACTTTGTTTCCACTTTTCAACATATTGCAATTCTACAGTATTACTATTTTTTGTTATTATACAAGATAATTACTGAACATAATATCGCAGTGATTTCTAGAAAAACCCTGACTAATAGCATTCAGACACACAGGAAGGGGGTGATCTCAGGTAGAAGTGGACACAAAAGAGTGCTTGTTCTGTTCTGCAATTTGATTGGGAAAGGGCACTGTGTTGGCGGGAAGGCATCAGGGAAGAAAGAAGAAGAAAGACGTTTGGGAATAAGGGGGGTGGGCAGCTTTGGTGCAAGTGAGTATGTGCTGGAGTTAAGATGTGTGGAGGAAATGTTGGGGTATTTCCTGGAGGACACAACCTGAGAGAATGACCAGGAGCCTGGAATGTGCTTCTTATAAAACGTCCATTCATCAGATGTTTACTTTCTGTTTCTCACTTTTTCTGCCTCATTTTTCCTCGTCCCTCTGTGACTTGCGGGTCCCCATTGATTATTGTAATTATACAATGCAAGGAATTACAACACCTACCTGGATGTTTGTTGGGGAAGCCTGAAGAGAGGGGGAAAAGAGGACAGGTACAGAGGTGGAGGAGGAGCAGATGGAGTTGGCCAGGGAGAGGTCGTACTGTAGAGGGAGGGAGCAGATGTGAGGAGATAGCTGAGAAGGATGTTGAGGTCACTGGATGAGTAGGTCGACACAGCTAACATGTATCCTGAAAACAACGTAGAGATTAAAAAGTCTACATATAAGCTACATAAACTGACTTTGAGTTGTTAACTGTGGAGAAACAACTGGATGTGAACCATTTACTTTGAATGTCTAAAATGTGTTTTTATGTCTTCCTTGTCTTCAATTGTTTTCACAGAAAATGAAAATGTTAGTGAAATGAGAGAGTAGGGGCAATGTTGGAGGGAGACAGTGGCAGGAAGGAAACTGGGCATGTAGAATGTTTTCTTTGATTGGCAACACTCATATTCTAGAGTATCTCCAGTTGTTTCCTGGCACATTGATGGAAAGGATTACCATCACAGCCCTGACTCTCCAGTGTAAGTAATGGAAAATAAACTTACATGACAGTGATCTTTCCCAGCTTGTTTTTTTCAGAACAAGCATCTAAAGACACAGGCTCTAAATAGCTAATATTGATGTACTCTCAGTATGGACACCCGTATTTCTTTCAGCTAAAGTTAAAAACAGACAAACATCTGGGTTTTCTATACTCCATATTAAAGGTCTCCTATCATGCAAAATGCACTTTTTTATGTCTTTTATACATAAATATGTGTCCCGGTGTGTCAGGGAACTCACAAAGTGTCAGAAAACAAAACCCTCTCTCTTTTCCTCTGTACCAACATCTCTTAAAACGGGGGTACAACGGAGCTGATACAGATTTGCTGCCGATATGACGTAATATCGGAAATGTGGGCTGGCTTTACACCCACGGCCCTATCAGAAACGTCGCTATCAGAAACAATGCGCAACGTGTTTTGGACGTAATATGGTCTTTGTTTACATTAGCAAGCAGTGCTAACACTCAGAGCTAACCTGCACTGGAGAGAGTATTTGTAAAAAACCAAGATATAGAAAGGGACTCACCTTGTGGTAAACCCGCAAGAGAAAATCATTTGAGCTCCATACGGTTCCAGAAACAATCCTTGATGTGGTTTTGAACATGATATGGCGTTTAATCACGGCAGCGTTTAGCTGAGTATCTCTGTAGAAATCTGAACAGGCATAAGCTCCCCCCCCCCCCCCCCCCTCTTTTTATTTTTATTTTTAAAGCTAAGGACCCAGAATCAGCACTTCTCTAATGCTGCGTTCACACCGGACGCGATGCGAATATTCGCTTCGCTCTAATCGCTCCTATCGCATCGCTCTAAACGCTGGAGTTTCACCGCGGCTGCCAGCTGTGTTTACTCGCATCATTCAAACAAGACGCGCTGGCTCGGGAGCTACAACTACAACAAAATGAACATATTTTACCGTGATTAAATTGTAATACACGTTTTCTAAATGATGCCGAAGTAACAACATACTGATACCGGTTAGTAAAAACCATGAATTAATGCTTTGACAAGTCTGCAGACAAGACGGCAGGCGAAAAATCTTTTAAAATGCTTGTTTTCTGAATGAAGATCGGGTCGACCAGGCTAAGCTAACATTGTATATGCTCATTCCACACTCATAACAACGGCC